AAAGATAGTGTGCTTCCCATTAGGTTTGTGCACTGGAAGTTGACATTCAAAAATATTGAGAGGATGCCAAAGATCCATTCTACTTATCTAAACTTACCCATCTCTTTGTATGCTTTGAAATAATTGAGCAATTCAGCACTTATTTCGTGGTCCAAAGGGAGATTTGAGCTGCAATTTATCTATGATTCAACGTCCTTGAACTTGTTAGGTCCTACTACCAGCTAGACATAGATTATATTGTCCTATTAGTTCCAAGAGGAGAGAATATCTGTAGCTCAAGGTTGAAATGTAGAGTCCTTGATGGTCTCTGAATTGTTCGCTTCAAGAGATTTCATTACCAGACTAGGTAATATTATCAGTGCTAGTGAGTTTGGGGTTTCTCCCTGTTTATATACAGTAGTTTACCCTGCCAATGTTGGTCGTATCATGTTGAACTTAGAGCACAGCCATCTATGTTGAGGTATGGCTCTCCATTGCTATCACATTATGATTTTTAATTATGGCAAAATGGGAAATTATTGAAGGGGATTAATTACATTAATTAGATTTTAATGTAACATTGTTTCTGTTCAATTAAATAAAGCATATTGTCAGTGTTCCAGGGAAAATCCATTCCTGTCAGTAACAGCTCCACTCAATTTTTTTTTCCTGGCCCTAAAGTTACTTTTTATATAGTATCTTTAGTTCCCAGGTAAAGATTGTCAAAAAACAAGAAAGACTTCTGCAAAAAAAAAAAGGAAATGTAGGAGAGATGGGAGATTATATATTATATATTGCATGACCTTTACATTGGAATCTTGACATAGTTACAGAGAAATAAAATGCAAACACTCTATTGAAATTAAATTATACCAAATTAGCAGTATTCATGGAGAGGTGAGACAAAAAGGGAAAAAAGCAGTGCTGCATCAATTCAACAAAACTTCATCCTTTTGTAGTATATGGTGGACTGTATGTCTGCAAGAAATGTGTTGACTATATTGCAATATGGCTTGGATTATTTTGATAAAAGGGAACTGCACAACTCTGATCTAAAAGCAAAAACACAGTTATCAGAGGATGAAAAGAAAAGTTCTTGCCCTCTTTTCACCCAAGGTCCACCCATAAAAACACTCTAGTAACATGTAAAACTCACCCATTTGCATTTCTAGGAAAGGGTTTAAGAAGTGCACATGTAGCCTATCTCAGCCACACCAGTTTGTTAGCAATCCAGAGGATAAGGATTAGAGTACCAGATTCCCTCTGTTAGAGAGAAGAGTAATTTCAAAATTTGATAAAAATAAACAAACAAACAAATAAATAAATGTTTACAGCTGGAACATAAATAGAAAACACACAAAAAGTCCTATGTTAAACAACAATAAGCACAAATATATTGTATCTACATAAAGACACACACACACACACTATGTAAGTGTGTGTTTGTATGTACTGTCTATGTGTATAAGTCCAATATTTAGGAGAAGAAATAAATATGTGTATGTATGTATATATGTGTGTACTATATATGTGTGTATGTGTGTGTGTATATATATATATATATATAATTCCAATATTTAGGAGAAGAAATAAATACTAGGAAACAATGCATGTGGCTAGAAATATGTGCATGCCAATATATAATTATGCATACATAAGTTCAATGTGCATAAATTCGTGTGAATTTTAGAGGGGACTGTTGGTGCTAGAACTGTGTTAAAGAACTGTGTTCTTGTTTGTTTTGTATGACCCACCTTCTCCTTTGATTGTAGAAACAGGACTGAGCGAATTTGGAGGTAATAGGATGAGAAGCAAAGTGAAAGAGAAATTAACAGATTTGCTCATTCATATTCAGTTATTCTATGAACAGCTGTTAGTTTGCTTTGGTACAAAACTCAAAGAAAGATGAAACATTGCACAATAGAGATTTAGAATTCACACCTTTATAAACATTTTCTCCCTTTTGCATGAAGTTGTGGGCAAATATTTACCTTGTCTTTGATTAAATATGCAACAGCCGGATGAAACAGCTTTGCAGGTTACATTCATCTGCAAGTTGACCAACCCTGGGTAGAAAATCTTGAAGTACACTTATTGATTTCATATTTAATTAGAAAAGCTGCAAAATGAACTGGTAATTATTCTTAGAAGCCATTTGACTAATAACTTGGCAGCAATACATATTTCATGTATTGTAATATGCTGAAAGATATGGTGCCAAAGGCAGGTTGACAAACCAACTGATGACTGGAACAAAAACTCCCAAAACATAATTTGAAGATTGCTTTAATTACATTATGTGATATAAATGATCTAAAAATTAAAATAAATTATACACATATTCTTATTAGAGGCATAATGTCCTATAGAACTAGTCCGCTGGAACATCTGAATTCATGAATACGCAAAACAAAGTCATTTGGTATTTGTTCTGTAATATAGTTAATGAAACAATTACTCTTTGTGAAGAATATTATGAAAGAATAGATAATGGATGAAAAGATGAAAGAAGATTATTGATTGTGACAGCTTAACTGCAATTGTAACTTTGTATTACATCAGGTCTCCAGGGATCGATTTTGTTCAATTTTGCTTATTGTAGCTTAGAATTGTGCTGTACATTGATTTTAATTCATTTTGATGAAAGAATTCAAGCTTTTCTTTTAATGTAACTTTCTAAGAAGATAGTTTCAGTGAAATTCCCAAGGATGGAGTAAGAATTTCTTACAACATAATATATTTAACTTGAGATGGGCAAATGGTGTACATAAATATCCTGAATTTCACTATATAGTACTATTGTCTCAATAATGGTGTTCAGCATCCAAATTTCCATAAATCCCAAAAGAGATCATAAGAAGGAAGCTTGTCCCAGGAGCATTGTGTTTTGTTTTTGCTTGTTTTTGTTATGTTATGTTTTGCTTTAGACAAGAAGATATAGGTAGCTAGGGAAGGTCTACAGTAGAACAGAACACAACCCCTAAACAATGGCACCTCTTGCCATGTCCAAAGGAAGCACAGAAATATCACCAACAGACAGAGAGGATAAAATCTTGAGCCCCCCGAGAATAAAAAGAGAAGCAGACAATTCTTTCGTAGCACAGGAAAGCCTTTGAGAAACTCTGAATCACATTCCAGTAGATTTTTAAACAGCATTTTTTCAGCTGTTTCAGGAGTCAATTTCACTATCAATCAAGTACAATCCTTTACATATTTATCCAAAAGAAAATGCTACTCCTTAAAAAAAAAGCTTAGTAAGGAAACTGCATTGGCAAATTGGTGGAGGCTGTATTTAATGGGTGATTTTTTTTCCTTCACTTGCTTATTTATTTACTTGTTTTTATGTGCCAGAGCTAGTATAATTAAAAAATATTTTGGGTTAAAAGCACATGTTTTTTTCAAACTTTAGTTTTAAAAGCATTGCTACGTTAGAAAAATGAAACATTCCTTTCAGGTGGTTCTCGTTTATTTGACTTTATTAATAATTGCTTTAATTAAAGATATTTGGTCTCAAAATGTTATTTGTAGCTCTCTTAGTTGTAGGTATATGGAAGTTTTGATCGGTATTATGCACAGTTTTGTTTAGCAGCTGTATCATTAGGGTTTGTGTAATTATACTTTAATAAACTGTAATTTTATATCACAATCTTGAAGTTTATAAATGGTCCGTATAAATGATATTTCAGAGTTTTTATGGAATTCTATATCTTATTTTTATTCTGATTGTTTTGGTTTATGGTTAACAAATGAATTGATGCTTTAATGGTATGAATATATTTTTCAATATGTTCAGATAATTAAAACAGGCATTTTTTAAAAAATGATTGAAACATTACACTTTTTTATTTTCCTCCATTCACTTTCAAATTAATACAATTATAAGGATCAAACTTGTCAGAATGAGCTTTCTGTGATTTTTAAAATATAAACATGATGACTCAACTTTAAAGATGAGGCACGATACAATCTTTGTTTAAGATGCTATAACTTTATCAAAGCTGTGATAAAGCTGTGACTTTTTTACACTTTGGTCATAAGACACCTGTAGCCTTTTTGATGAGATTAGATTCCAGATTCTTCCAACTGGAGTCATCCTATTTGCGCTACAGTTCAATTATATTTGGTGGGCCGCAGGTTTTCTGTTCCTGATCTGTTATAGTATCATCGTATGCTAGTGGTCTCATTAGTCTGTTTTACAAGTAGGAAATATTGTGTTCTCTTTCTTAAAGAAAAAAAAAGAAACCATAAATCACCTACATTTCTTTTATCATTCCTTTATCCTCAAGATGTCTATGTTTATGTATGAGTCAAATTGCTTTAGTGCATGTAAACGGCTAGAACAATCTACAGTGTATAATATTCAGAATCAGTTTTCCTTTTTTTGACAGAACATGTCATGATTCACTTCTGAAAATGAAAAATGACTGTTTGCAAAAATATGTCACACAAATGCTTTGTCAATTGGAGAGAGCATAGCATTGTTAATTGTCCACAAACCAACTTTTTTTTTCTTTTAGTGGCTTTAGTGGTGGGATTTTTAGATGACATCTGCAGTTTATTGATACAACTTGCTTGAATTATCAACATGACTTTTTCCTTGATGTTCAGTCTCTTGTTGCTTCTTTGGTTTGTATCCTCTTGTCTTTATTTATGATGTACCATAAAGCAGACACTTGGAAAGGTCCAAGATTGAAAAGATGAGGAAGCTGAGATACAGCAATTCTTATCTTTTCTCCAATTTTACCTCTCACACAAACAGGATAAATGCTTTATGATTCTTTCTGCTAAGGACAAATTATAGACAAGTTTTGCCAGTTGATTTCAAGACTCACAGAACTATGATTTAGTGGATCTGATGTGTAAAGTACTTTACTTCTTCAGCTGAAATGGATAATCTTTCTTTTTCCTTGTCCCACTGAGACTTCTTCTGCTTAGATTTACTTCCCGCTTCTTCACAGCAATTTAGTGATATGGGAATGGGTACTTTGTATAATCAAAAATCTTTCTTTCTTCTATTTAAGGAAGCTTGCAAGTCCGATACAGATTGAGTAAAGACAAGTCTCTTATTTTCACAATTGATTCTGGAAACTTTGCTAACAGAGAACTGCACAGCGTGAAGATCAATAGAGATGGAAGAGAGCTGACTATTCAGGTATCTAATTTACCATTTGTTGTGGCCCACAGCTTCTTGAACCCTTTACTGTCCTTAGTAATCAAATGAAAAGATAAATTTGATATCTGTCCTGAAAAGCACATGCCCATGTTTGTTAGAGTTGCTGTTGGGTCTTGTAAGTAGCTACAGCAATGGCATGGTCAGATAAGCACTTTGCCAAGCCAAGTGAGAGTTTTGTCTTCTGGCTGCAGCAACTACATTAAGACTGGAAATAAGAACAGAAGAACAGAAAGAAGGATGATCCAAAGTTTCCACTGTTCATGCCATATTATCTGGGCCATTGCTTATGCTTTTACACCATACAAACGAACTAGCAAGTCATAACAGCATATAATTGGCTGAAAAACCTTAAATTTTTCAAATAATTTTTCCAAGTCTCCTTTGTTCATCCCTGTTCCTTATCACCATGCTTTGATGCCATGTCATTCAAAATACAGAACTCCTGGAACTTTTTTTCTCTAGAAGAGAATATAAAGATCAAGGTTGAACTGTGGAGTTCTTTGTGCTTTCTGAACTTGTTTGTCTGAGACATTTGAAACAGATGCAAGCAGACAACCAAGCTCAGAGAGAATCAAAAACTCCATTTCTTTCTCTGTTAGTATAATGCTTAATATTTACTGATGTCTATTAATTTTGTTTGATTCCAATTTATAATTAGCCTATAAGATTAAGTCAATTGGTATTTTTGCTAAAGTAAGACTTGTAAGCTTTGGTCACTTTCTGCTAATAGAATGGTATCATCCATATACCTAAAATAATAGGCTGCAGATATTGGAGAATGAAAACACATAGGGGAAAAAACAAAGCTTGTATCTCCCTCCCTTATAAAAACTGATAGGATCCTAGTATTGTAGTAAAGTTGTTCTTTGAAATCTTCTTACCAAGGAGTAGAGAAGACAAGAAACACATACTTAATGCATTACTAAGGTAGAAGAAAGCCAGAGAATAGAACTTGCTCTCATTTATATTTGGAGTGTGAAAGATCAGCAACAAAAGAAGCATGTTGGTAAATGCCATGGTTACAGATATGGGAGAACCCTAAAGGAAGAATGATAGAAAAATGTCACAAAGAAAAAAAAAACAGAAAAGATACCACACCGGTTGATTATAGATCTAGAATGCAATAAAGAAATATATATTGAGCTTCATGATATATTTAATTTAAAGTAAAATGTATAGGCTGAGTAAAGATTACAATGTCAAAAGGATCTTGTGCCTTCTTTAGGGAATTATTCATGAAGATGTATTTTGCATTTGGCTCACCCTACTTTCAAGAGAATACAGTTCAGTAGGTTTGCGCTAATGACTTCAAAACAAATTTCCCAAAATAACATCATTCTGTCTATTGTCCTAATTACAGTATAAGGCACCTTTTGGTCAGAAGGCTGATTGTGAATTATTCTAATAATTCTGTGCTTTGACACACACACAAAAAATGAAAGATCAATGAATTCTAAACACCTGTCGATTTGCAGTTCTCCATTTCTCAAATGCTGTTCTGCTATTGTGTATGACTTGGCATAGGAATATGCATAATTATAAGAAACTAAAAACAGAAGCAGCATCAAGTTGATTAAGAATCCAGGCTAATTGAGTCTTAGGAAAACAAATTGGACAGCTTCCCAACATTGTCTGACCCGCACAGATATTAGAATGATAAAGTTGACAGCTACAAGCTTGGGGAATTACTGAGCTGCTCTCAAAATCTCAGTGTTGTACAAACATGGGGAAGATTTCTCTGATAGGAGTTTCATGTTGGAGTGAAATATAAATGTGGGAAAAATGCTTACCAACAAAAGAATATAGTATTCACTTGCTTACAAAAGCATTGTTAATACCATGCAATTTTACTTCCTTTCCAGATTGACCAGGTTCTTAAAGTCAAGCACAACTTTTCCTCTGAGGTTGAGTTTGGAGCCATCAAATCGCTGACCTTGGGGAAAGTGACTGGTAGGCATATGAGATATCTTTCTGACTGACTTATAGATAATTATTTATGGTCAACTATGCAATGCATTGTTTGGATACATGTTGGCACACTTTTATTTTCAATATATTGCTTACATCATTGCTATGTCAAAACAGTGTTAATATGAAACTTATTGCAAGAGATTATGCTTTTTTTTTTAACTTGGCAGGCATAAATGTTGATGCTGACCATAAGATCTTTTCTTGTGCAGCAAAAGTACAGAAGAAAAATGTTGAGTTATGAAGGCTATTGAGCTCCTGAACAGCTCAATAGCAGATTGTCACAGACCTCTAAAATAGAATCAGGCTGTAAAGCAGATAATACTTTAAGGACTCTTTTTAATATTCCATATTTAGTGGGTAGTAAAACAGAAGTAATATAACAACAGCAAAGATAATTAATTACTTTGAAGCTGGTACAGTACAATCCCGTGCATGTTCACTTAAAATTTGAGTTTAATGGATTTTACTGCTGGCAAAGTTTGCACATGGTTGCAATTTAAGATGTATAGCATTCTTACATGTGGTAAGCTACATTGCCCCATTGCCAAGAGTGAAGAGGAGGGGTTGATGCAATTGTTTGGAGACCATTGCAATCACTAACAGCACCAGCCTGGAGATGACAATTACATGTGTCAGTTCAATTGGGCCATAGTGACAGTCTGGATTCTCCACAAGCACCTGAATGCCATCTCAGATCTGGTATTGGAATCCCAAAGTTTTTGATCTTGGGACACATGAATTCTCACACTCTTGGCAATGATTCCAGAATGACTTGTGAGATCATGGCAACCATGACAACCATGCTACAGGTACCATAGTGGCTATAATACACAGAGATGGTCCCATACCTGATTTGTTGCTTACACAGAATAGATGAGCTCAATCTGGAGAACATTGATATCTATCCTTTCTCATCACTTTCTACTCAAATTGCAAATTGTCAATATGTTCTTAAGATGATAGCCATCTTATGCCAGGCTGACAACTAGAATACCAGAACTGAGAACCTTTGGACTGATATAATTTACAAATCTTTTTTCTCACCTTCCGTCCCCCAGAATTGATGACAATCATGAAGGGAGGACTGTATAAAAAGTCCTGCCATTTGGAAAAGTGAGGAAAATACAATCCCCAAATGTCCTTTGACTGAACTCTTATTGTTTCCTCAAAATCCTCATAATTTTTTTTCTCTCCTTGACACTTATTCCAGGAAAATGAGTCTATGATTATAGTGTATATGATAAAGGGAGGGGGTAAGGTTTTCTTTTTGTTGTCAGCAGCCTGCGGTTCTTTGAGATAAACACGGAATAGAAATGTTTCAAAAAAACAGAAGTACTTTCCATTTCAGTTATGCCATGCATCCAAAGAATTAAAACATTATTTTTAGCTTAAAAGACCAGCATTTGAGAATAAAGATTCCCACTCTGTGTCCTTGAATGTTCAGAACTGATATATTTACCTAGCCTGCAGTAAAAATCATGGCAAAAAGACTAGACTGGAATTGCCACTGAAGCAGAGAATGAGATAGATGATTAGTGTGCATCCAAGAACAGTTATAGGGAAGTAACTATTCTGCTCCAGTAAAGCACACAAAGCCATTGAGTTCAATTTGCATGTCTCTCCATACCCTTAAAAAAAACTAGCAATTGCATGTGTGAAATAGTAACATGCCCAAATGCTTTGTCCCTTCTCTTTATTTAATCTAGCAACTCTGTGCTGAATTTACCGTCATTTCTTTTAGTTAATGCACTTGATAGTCTAGCTAGCTAGAGGCTCCATTTAATAATTGCTAGGTGGATATTGTTCAGTACTTCAAAACTTAAGGACACCATTGGATACCGTGCTCTAGATGTGAATCTCCTTATCTTTATCAAAGCGAGGCAATGAAACGGGCCCAGCCTTTTCCTGAAATTAATTACCTTGCTTCCAGGCAATCTGTTTTCCCTCGATGTGCATATCTCATCTGGGAATTTTTCAGGACAGCAAAGGAGCTGAAATTAAATGGCTGTGTTTTCCATTAAATTAAAGGGGATACTTTTTATGTGCATGGTCAGTCATGCATGCCTGCATCTTATATTCAAGAGGAAGATTAACTAAATGAATCAAAGAGTCTGCACACAAGTTGGTTCTGAAATTAACTGTATATAAATCTCACAAGCCAGGTGGAGTGGAATGTGAAAATGGTGTCAGCAATGTCAGTTATCTAAGTAAGAAATGAGGACGAATATATGAAATTAGTTGTTTTTTTTCCAATAGCCCTTTAAATGTAAGCCAAACTCTCCCAAATTACAGTTCTGATTTAAAAAACAGGTTTTAAAATTACAACACCAGAACAATGTTATCTGATGAGCACCCTTGATTCTGATCTTCAGATTTTTATTACATGGATAAAGAAATATAAATAAAATTCCAAATATGAATTTTATTTTTATCATTCATGTTGCTTCTTTTATTCCTTCTTGTATTGCATTGGAAGATAAAAGTTTGCATTCTTGTATTATTTCAGGTTTTATCTAGCTATTTGGTGGAAGAATTATGCAATTCTTCTAATTTCATGGGGCAATCCTTCCAAACCTGAGTGCTTATATTGCCAATATTCTAAGTCAGCCTTTCCCAAATGGATGCTTTTCAAATATGTTGATGGGATTATATCAAGACAGCAATTTCATCAACTGTGTTGGTGGGGAATTTGAGCATTATTATTTCAAAATGTGCTAAGGTCTTTATGTTAAGAAAAATGGACTAAGGATTGAAATTCCTGATTACTAGCTTCAAACAGGACATCTACTGATGGCAGAGTATGATTTGTTATTTAGGAAATCTGTGGCACCCCACAATAGTTCCCTGCCTCTCTCATTAATGATAAGCTGAATGTGACTGATTGGGCCTGAAATCCAATATATGGATGGCCATAGCTCTTATGTTATGAAATGAATTGGAAATATGATCAACCTAGACATTGTTTCAATTTCCTTGGAGTAGAACCTACAGTCTACAGTAACCTTCTATATTCCAGTTCTAGATTTCACAAACATCAGCCTTCTTCTTCACAGTTTCAGAACTGTAAAAAGCTCTGTGTGATAGCAACTGTAGCAAAAGGAAGAAAACTTATATTGTTTACATACATTTCAGACTAGGGAGAGGAGCAGGAGGCAGAGAGCATTAGATTTTATATTTCCCTTTAAATCTTTGCAATCAAACCACCATTGTTTGGCTTCAGATTGGAAAGTAGGTTGGATTACAAGACAATATTGACCTAAAGTTATTGTTTAAGCTTCCATAACTGAATGAGCACTTCAAAGTTATGTTGAACCATGTGTCGGCTTTGATTTATGAGATACACTGGTTACTAGCTACTTCAACTCCCAGAATTCCTCTTCCTGTCATGTTAGCTCAGGAATTCTGGGGGTTGAAGTCCACAAGTCTTAAACTTGCCAAGTTTGAAGACCCTTGGTTTAGAGCTTAGTTATCTACTCAACCAAGGAGTTTGAGCAGACTGTGCATGCTGCAGATGCCTTCAAATGAACAATCCCCATCTCCCAAGATTCATACAGACTGATTCTAGAGTTGTTCCAAAAGTCATTAAAACATTTCTCTGCTCCAAGGTGTGAGGTAGATGCTGAGCCTTTGTTAGGTTATTGTTGATGGTGGTGGTTTTGACTGTTTTGTTGTTTTACTTTCCTGGACACAGATTTTTTTTTTTTTACTGGTTTTCTTTGTGTGCATTGGATTAATTTCTTTTTGGAATCAGATGGTCTTCCAATCTAATAATAAATAAATAATTTTTTTAAAAAAAGCAATTAAGCTGGGTCTCTCTCAACAGTCCTTGTTCAACATTATTCTTTGTTGGCTCTCACTTCCTAACACTATGCAGCTTCACAGAAAGACAATGAGGAACAGATAAATAGACTGAAAGTACAATTTTAAAGTTATTTATACTGAGTTATAATAAGGCACTCTTCCTGAGCCTGTCAGTTTCTTTGTATCTTTCTCTGTATGTATGTATTATACATACATGCATACATGTATACATCCTTACACACATATACTGGCATACAATAAGTATGCAAACAACTGGAAAAGCTGACATTATATTTTGAAATTGAAAGCTTTTAAATGATTGAATTATGATGTATAGAAACATTTGCATGCCTCCCCCCCCCCAAAAAAAACCCTATAGTACCACTAGCAATGGAGTAAGATCAGGATGACCAAGAGAGCCATGATAGCGCAGTGATTAGAATGCAGTACTGTAGACTACTTGCAAATTGGCACTTTGAATATCACCAGGCTCACGGTTGACTCATCCTTCATCCTTCTGAGGTCAGTAAAATGAGGACCCAGATTGTTGGAGGCAATATGCTGACTCTGTAAAACCACTTCAAGAAGGCTGTAAAGCACTGTGAAGTGATATATAAGTCTAAATGCTGTTGCTGTTGCTATTCTCCTTTCTCATTACCAACCCCATTGTTTTGTTCTGAAATGGAAACAGCCCACAATGTATCTTTTTGGATGTATTACAAAATTGACTACTTATACTGTAACAGTGGGATCTCTCTGAAACTTGGAAAACTTTAATAGATCATCCACCTAAGAATTGCCTGATGTGAGCTTAAATGGACTCCAGAAAATGGTAGAGGACAGGAAGGCCTGGAGGAACATTGTCCATGGGGTTGCACTGGGTCGGACACGACTTTGCGACTAACAACAATTAAATAGGCTATCCCTTAGAACAATTAGAAAGGGTTTTTTTTTTCAAATTGTTCCAATTCTACCAGGATCTTAGTACACAGTAACTGGAAGGGAGAGTCATTTCACAGTGAGAGGAAAACATTCTACTTCCACCTCTAGAGACTGCTATTATTGTCAGAAATAGAGTTTGTAGTATTACTTAATTGCTGTGCCTTATGCTATACTTCAGGGAGAGTCGATAGGATCCCTTTGGGAAGGGTTGCCAAAATAGAGGCTTGCAAAGTCTC